TGTAAGTGAGGTTACCGGAGGTAAAATTCTGTGTAATAAGGGATAAGTCAATTGCAAAATTGACGTGTGGATGCAGAGGAGAATTTCCAAAACTACAAAGACACCAAATAATAAGTATTTTGTTGAAATTGAGAATCGCAAACGATATAGTCATTCGATTAACGAGACAGTTAATGTTCATGAATATTTTATTTAGATTTTTAGATATAGGCTTGTTTTTTTATAATAAAACTTACAACATAATTGGCAAAATGCCTTCGAGTAATGAAAGGCATGATGATGGTCGATGGTTAGTTATGAAATTATAATTTATACTAACTGGTTCAGTATCAAGTGCGTCAAGGATTCTAATGAAATCGATTATTAGATTAACTCTCACTTAATTGTAAATTGCAAAATTAAAAACTGTGTCAAAAATTTTTTGCACCAATATTACAATTTAAGAATGTGTTCTACAAGAAAAATAATCAAATATTGAGTTAAAGAGTTCAATTCTATTTCTATATCAACAATTAAATAAAGACCAGTTACAAGCCTATAAATAAACAAAAACATTAAATGAAACTCCAAAATCACTTAAATTTTATGTAAATATTTTGACATTCTGTCAAACATTATAACATTGAACATTTATTATATCAATTGCGATTATAGAAACAGCTATAAATTCCATTAGGTGTGGTTCATGTAACTATGATTTATATTATGTATGTACGCATTACATAATGTGTCATAACACTTTTTCTCAAGGGGATAGGCAGAGCTGTAGGTTTAAAATGGTACATTACACCTATCACGCCCATTTATAAAAAAGTCCAATCTGAATAATAATTTAATTCCAGGCTAAACGATAATAAACGGTAATTAGGATTCCGGTAACTTCACACACACTATGAAACACAACGCAAGCGTTCTTTCACGTCGTTTTTCTGTGAGGCCGTGGTATCCCTCCGGTCGAGCCGGCCCATTCGTGCCGAAGCATGGCTCTTCCACACTTAAAATGTATGTACGTATGTACATTTTTTATGTATTAATTGTTTTCCTGTTTGTGTGTAGTAGTTAACAAACTGTTTGTAATATTGCGTTTATCAAGGTTATTAATTATGATCCATTGATAGAGGTTAAAATATGTAAATAAAACACAAATATATTTTATCAGTTACTGTTATCAATTGTATAGTTTTAATTTATATTTATTGTAATCAGTTCATTGATTTCAGATTCGTTTTGTTTTTAGGATTCTATGGTATTTTAACACGGAAGTGGGATTATTACTGCCTCATTGATCTGGTAGTCGTAAACGCACTTCTGAATTCGAGGTCATAGATTCGAATCACAGATTAAATAATATTTAAAATATTTTTTGAAACTTACATTTTCTATGTCTTTTTTTAATGGGGGGAAAATCATCGAATGACTGTTCCTGCCTGGGTGAGGCGTCTGACGGTCTCGGGTTCGATTCCCGGGTCGGGAAAAGTATTACTGGGGTTTTTAAACAATAGTAGCACGGAGTCTGGAATTGTGCCCGGTATATGGCAATAGGCCCACCCCCTGTTACATGGGAACATAACATAAACAATGGTATAATGTGCACATCTGCCTACCCCTTCGGGGACTAAAGGCGTGATGACACAAAAAAAAAGACAAAAAATAGTACTTAATTTTAAATATTGATCTGTACACCACCCAATCCGAGAATCGAACTCAAGACCTCTTGCTCACCAATTACAATTACTATACCATCAAGACAATGTTAATTACAAGCTCTTTGTACAATAAGTACACATTTGTATGAACTCACAACTAGCGACCTCTGTTGAATTAGATAGTAAGTAATTAGTTGTGCCCAGCTCTATTATTACACAAATAAACACCAGGTTCTAATTAAATATCATTATGAGCACATTGTGGACATAATTCTCTGTATTTTATAGATTGCTTTCATGTGAATTGTCTCGAATTTTAATGTTAAGAGTAATCCATGGAGTTTGCTCGTCCTTCTGCGTAGGAATCTATATTTTTTAATGAGCATATAGCTTTACTAGAGAGAGTCAAAAAAGAAGGGGTTGAAGCGGTTTTTTAAATGCACACACATAACATAATATCACGCCTTTTATTCCCGAAGGGGTAGGCAGAGGTGCACATTATGCCACTACAATGTAACACCCACTTTTCACTATTTATGTTATGAGTCCCATGTAATAGGGGGTCAGCTTATTGCCATATACCGGGCACAATTCCAGACTCCGTGCTAATACTAAAAATTTTTTAAAAACCCGTAATACTTTACCCAACGCGGGAATCGAACCCGAGACCCCTTGCCCGGCAGTCGCACTTGCGACCACTCGGCCAACGAGGCAGATTTTTAAATGCAGTTTATAAAATTATTATTATGAAATAGGTGTTTTAAAGATAGACGGTCGGATGGTATATGTGGTCATCTGCGCCGCCTATGGACCCTCGCGATCCACAATACGGAGCTACGATTCAACACAGCTTTACTTTTAAGAGGTCGATTCTAGTTTAAAAATTCACATTTACAAAACGGCACAGACATAAAAAGTATTTCTAAGAAACCAAAAAAGCAAGACAATTTTTCTATTTCAAACTCTAATAACTAATGATAGATAGAAGCAAAGAGCAAATACATATAACCTACATTACTTATAGGCAAAAGGTCAAAAAGGAAGAACATTTATATTTATTTCGTCCATCTACTCGTCCCTTAACTTTTTACGTTGGGTTCATAAAAAGTTGTATCAATTTTCATTTGATGGACCCTATATATTATATAGTTTTTTATAAAGAAAATATTCTTTTATAATAACTATCGTAAGACATACTAAATTAACTAAAAATCGCGGGTTACACTCGTCAATATATGTGTAGGCTAGGTAATAGGCTGCACGACATCGCCGCGACCATAGGCCGCGACCGCACGGTACTCATGAGAAAGAACCCCTCTGTGGTTCGAAACTAGTAGAGCTTTTCTCAGTATATTCACGTGAGTAACCCGCGATTTTTAGTTAAGAAAATATCTAATATTAATAATACGGTAGTTGACAATAACTAGTCAAATTCAATACTTTTATCGAAACGTCAAAAACGATACTCTTCTATGAATTTTGTACGAAATACCATCTTATGACGTCATCATATTTTCGCGTCAAATACCATACTTATATCTAAAAACAATGCTAGAATAAATCGAAAATTAAGTATATCGGCAAATCAATGAATAAAAGTGTAACTATGTTTCAATATTTCATTGGACTGAAAAATCAAAATAATTTAATAATCCCCCCCCCCCCCGCGGAAGAAGTAATTCAATAATTTTTGCCCCTTTAAAAAAACTCTTCCGTCAGATGTTGTGAGAGCCGACTAACAGAGACCAGGCAGTAGTCGTATTCTGACAAGCTCGAACCATTTACTGTGATCTCCAACCTACCTTCCAGCGAAAATATTACGGCAAACCGTATTATGTATGAAGCCATGGAAGATTTAACGGGCTACCGAGGCTACGAGTCGACGTGCAGGAGCAGAAACTGGGCGGTATTTAGTCAGTAAGCGTTTGATACTCCCTCTCACTCTCGCCTCACCCAGGTGGGAGAAGACATTGGATGATTTTACCCCACAAAAAAAAACGTTTTATGTATAGGACTAAATCAACAGAATAATAATTGTATGAAATAGTAGATAGTAATAGTAATCTTCATCAACTTTATGAATTAAAATTAATTCTATAAATAGTATGAATGAAAATAATTATAATAAAATGTAACTGAAATTCAATATAACCTTCATTATAAGCAAAAAGTTATTATAAAATTTTAATTTCGAACACACAATTTCAAATACGACTATTCGCATGCCAGGGACATAAATTTAAAAATAGAACTGTTATCAGTTTGTAATCCTACTATGAGGCACGTAGTTTTTTTACGCTGTATGAATGATTTTTTATCTGTGTTTTTATTACATACTAGCTGACCTGGCAAACCTCGTACCGCCTCATTTTTTTTCTCTTTTTCTGAACCTTTTTTGAACATCGACGAATATTTCAAGACAAGAAATTAGCCAAATCGTTTCAGCCGTTCTTGAGGTTAAGGAAGAGAAACGAACGGATTTTTTTTATTTATATATGTACTTAGATAAAAATTGTGTCATTTTCCTATTGAAAAGCCATGGCTATTCACTATTTTTTTTAATATTTTTGTTTTAATAAAATATTATCTTGGAACGTAGGAAATGTCACGGAAAAAGCGTTAGTAATCAAATACAGTGATATTAATGAGCAAGGTTCATAATAATTAACTGCCCTATTAATCATAATATTGCCACGGAAGAAATTTATTTTCCTGCTGACACCCCTTGGACATTTAAATATTTATTATTCCCTTAAAATTTATTATTTGATTAAGACATCTATTATTGCCCGTAATTTTAATTAAAATGTTCATTGATAAACTCATAATCTTACATAGAATTATTTCAAAGGTTATCTTAGTAATTCTAATGATTAATTTCCTTATTTATGTTTTGTTAGCTTCCATTGAGATTTTGTAGGCAGTGAATTGTTTTTTTTTATATTCTTCGGTACTTTGATTTTTACAGGCCACGTCGAAGTCGGTCGAAGTCCAAAATCATTTTTAATTGGGTCACAGATGCTCGAAAAATCTCCGAGACTATTTTTTTCAATTGCCAGTAATTTTCTTTTAATTGGACAAAGCAGTAAAAAATGGCCGAACAATTAATCGTGACTCCCTAAAATTACGACTTGCTTTAATTAGACACCACTTGTAGCTTTAATAGTCGAAGGAGCCTTACTGCCGTTCTCTTGTACAGTCATAAAGTTTTGTTGCAAAATATAAAATTGTAATTAAGAAATATTGTTCTGAAATTGTCCTGCAAAAGCATGTCGTACTCATCAAAATAAATTTTAATTTTAAAAGAAAATCTTATGTTTAGCCGCCTCATAAAAAGTAAAAAAGTCGACTAACCTCAATTAAAAATCGCCTTAAATAATATTCCACACTATACAAATCACTTCACTAATAAAAACAAATTTCCGCAAAAATAACACTGGCCAAAAAAAAAATAAACTTATAACTCACGCACTATGAGGAAAAAAAACTTTCCAAATTTTAAATACGTTCGATTTGTTTTCTGTTACAAAAAGTTTTATTCGATCGCCGATTGTGTTTGAGTAGTGACGCGACGCGCGCTGTACTCAACGCTCGCTTGCCGCCACTGAACGTCGACCATTTCTTTACGCGTGCGCAAAAGGGAACTGGCAGAATCGCCAAATGCTTTATTTTTAGTGTTTCGCTTTTACCTGCGCTTTCAATTACGAATGCATTGTGACTTACCTATATTTTCCTTACTTTTCAACTTTTATCTTGGACATCTTTTTTGAGACGTCCAACGTCCATTTTTGTCGTCTTTTGTTTTCGTATTACCAACTCTATTCGTGGAAAACTATGGCATACTTTTCCGTAACACGAATTAATTGCAAATTTAATACATTTTGTATTGTAAACATAATCTAATTAAGAGTAATTAGTAAGTGTCTGAAGCATTGTAATTGTTATGTTTATCGAGTACCTACAGATATCATGTAGCCGGGAGGTCGCGTAATGTGTGACCTTTCACATCACTAGTTCTCGCCAGCTGTTGCACTAGTGGTGAACCAATAAATGTAAATGCACTAATATAACCATATTGTGTACCATATTGAACCAAAATTATATATTATGTTGGAGGGATTATGAAGTATTCCAGTAATTCGTTTCTCAGTTTAGTCAAAGTATGAGTATTCGATCTTTGAGGTTTTCAGCGATAACACGGAATCAGAATCAGAATCAGAATCAGAATCAGACAGTGTTGGTGCTTCAGTTTGAGATCGAAGTTATTTTATTTTTTATTTTCAGCCTGCTTTAATCTGTAAAGATTCGGAACGCATATGTATGCGAGACACAATGCGTTTTCTATTGTGTCTCGCATATAAAGCAGGCTGAAAATTAAAAAAAAATATTTTTGATCTCAAACTGAAGCACAAACACTATGACGGGAAATAGTGATAATGATCAATCAAATGCTAAAAACTAATTATGTAATACCGTTTAAACAATACCTATATTAAAATACACTACAATATGTGTTCGTAATCGATAGTTAAATAAACAGAAACTTATTTTGAATACAAATTTACTGAATATAATTTATAAATGTTGATGGAAAGCATCGCAGGCGGGGACCAACAGAGGCTTATTTATAGTCATTTCGGTTGTGCACCATTTAGCAGAATTTTCGTTGGTGGCGGTCAAGGTGGTCCCCGCCTGCGATGCTTTCCATCAACATTTATAAATTATATTCAGTAAATTTGTATTCAAAATAAGTTTCTGTTTATTTAACTATCGATTACGAACACATATTGTAGTGTATTTTAATATAGGTATTGTTTAAACGGTATTACATAATTAGTTTTTAGCATTTGATTGATCAATATTATTGTGGGGCTTGTTTTACTCTTTTTTTAGTGTGCAGTCGGGTATTTTGTTTTTTTAATAATAATTTTTTTATTTATAACTTTTTAGCTGTTTTTATTTCGATATATACAAATAGGGATATATCGAATAAAATCGCTATTTAGAGACGACCGTCAACGACGTGTGCCCTCATGCGTGTGCCCGCAATCGGGCTGTATACTCGAGCATATCCCCCTCCGCACCGCGCCGCGCGCCGCATGCCAGGCCACGCCCTATCTTTTTGCTTGCTAACGCATGAGTTGCTTTGCGTTGACGCAGAATTAACATGTTCCCGTGGGAATTTTGAGAAAAAACGTATCCTATATTAATTACTCCCGTGATTGAAATGAATCTAATGATACCGCATACATATTTTTTTAAAGGGAAATTTAGAAAAAATATTATTATGTCTTTATCCCGTGGGACTTTTAGGATAAAATGTATCCTATGACACTCCCGTAATCAAGACAAATCTAACGATACCTCATACATCAAAATCCATCAAGCCGTTTAGGCTACAGGTGGTCACAAAGGAAAAGACATACATACATACTTACATACACTCGAAAAACATTACCCTCCTTCTTTGGCAGTCGGGTAAAAACACTCGCTTATTAATACTTCAGGGATAAAAGGCGTAATGTTAATGTTATGTATTGATAGTTTTCTGGGTTTTTCTGGAGCCGTGGGGGACTTAACGGGCTCCGACTCGAAGAGAGTAAGAGCGGGGTAGTTTTTAGTTAGTAAGAGTCTGACAATGTTTTTTACTTCACCTAAGGCGGGAGAAGACGTCGGATGATTACCCGAAAATTATTTCAAACAAAAAAAAAGCATAGTATTCTTGCGCTATTTTATACGATGAAGGTGTCTTACATTTCATTTGACAAAAAAATCGCAAAACTCCAACGTCTTAGTCATCAAGTTTGTTATCTTACAAGGCAAACAGCACAGTAACTCAGTTACTGTCAATATAAAGTAAACGGAACACAGTTGGCAACAAAGTTCACGAACTGCATCGAACGAAGTGACAATTTACTGGCTTATCTTTTAAACTGACATGTCGTTACCTTCAAGAGTTTAAAGGAAGCTTCTTTGTTGGTTTTATTTTTGTTTGTTTTTAGAGATATCAACCGATAATGACAGTCGACTGCTGACCTATGAGTGTGGGATAAAAGTGAGATAAGTTTCGGCATGAATGGACCGGCTCGACCGTAGTGACACCACGGCCTCACAGAAAACCAACGTGAAACAACGCTTGCGTTGTATTTCGTCGTGTGAGTAAGGTTTACCGGAGTTCCAATTACCCCCTCCCCCAATCTCCCCAATCCTTGAATCTCCAACAATCCTCAAATTCTTAGGAATTTCCCCAAACAGCACCAGCTTGATAACGCACTTGTAACGCCTCTGGTATTCCGAGTGTCCATGGGCGACGCCGACTGCTTACCATCAGGTGATACGTCTTCTCGTTTACCAGCTTATCCCATTAAATATGAACCTCTTGTATTTGTACAAGAACATAAACATAACATCACGCCTTTTATCCCCAAAGGGATAGACAGAGGTGCACACAGAAGTAACACCCACTTTTCACTGTTTATGTTATGAGTCCCAAGTAATAGGGGATGAGCCTATTGCCATATACTGGGCACAATTCCAGACTCCGTGGTACTACTGAGATTTTTTTAAAAACCCGGTAATATTTTGTAAAAGTATATATAAATAAATAAATAAATAAATTTTGCCCGGCCCGGGAATCCAACCCAAGGCCCCTTGCCCGGCACTCGACCAACGAAGCTGTTACATAAACTTCTCTTATAATATCTACATAAGAAAAGGTGGTGTTGGTGGTCTTGTACAGGAGGTCCATAGTCACTCAGTGGAGTACCATAGGCTGGTAAAAAATTATTAAAAAATTCTAACTTAGAGTTAGAATTTTAATGAAAAATAACCTTTATTTGTTTCTGAACAAGGATGATATTTGCATTTCCGAAACCTTAAAACTGAATACAAAATGAAACTTATAAGTACTGTTTACGTGGTTGCAGTACCTATGTCTCTGATTTCGGTGTGCCTTACGGCAAAGGCCGTCTCTAACTCTTTCCACTGTTTCCTATCTGCTGCTACTCTAATCCAGTAAGTTCCTATAGTAACTTTTATGTCATCCTTCCATCGTTTTGCTTTCCGTCCTCTGCTCCGTACGCCATCCCTTGGATACCAAACTGTCTCCTGTTTGTTCCGTTTCACCGTTTTGCAACGAATCATGTGCCTCACCTCACCTCCATTTGAGTTGATCAATACGTGATAGTATATCTGTTATTTGCATTAACTTACATAAATACATACATAACATCACGCCTTTTATCCCCGAAGGGGTAAGCAGAGGTGTACATTATGCCACTGTACAATGTAACACCCACTTTTCACTATTTATGTTATGAGTCCCATGTAACAGGGGGTGAGCCTATTGCCGTATACCGGGCACAATTCCAGACTCCGTGCTACTACTGGGAATTTTTTGAAAAACCCAGTAATACATTGCCCGACCCGGGAATCGAACCCGAGACCCCTTGCCCGGCAGGCGCACTTGCGACCACTCGGCCAATGAGGCAGTCATGTTGCATTACCTTATCCGTAGTTTATGAAATATTCAAGAGTAGGTCAGCGTTACACATTTAACGCAATTATTATTGGAATCAATTCATTCGTACAAACGTTAACTCGACTCCGACCGACTCTCTCCATTCATTAAAATAAGATGAATGTAATTTCATCTTTATTCCAATATTCTGTTCGAATTGTTTAAGTTATTCAAGTTACGTCACACTTTGTAGGACTCGAAGGACAAGGCAGAGGTTATATATATCGTGTAACACCGTGTGTCAATGTAGTATCTACTTTTTCCTCTTATTTTTATGAGATTCATATAGTGCGAACAGAACACATAAATTGTAATATAACAAGACTTAATTCTAGACACCGTGCTATAACTGTTTTTTTTTAAATTCAAAGAGTGCCCAATACCACGTTGTCTTTGCTTGAATCAATGAATCTGTCCTAAAGTTACCTCTATATCTAAGCGATATAAAAGACATCATGACTGCGCAGTTGGCGTTGTGGTTGGTCAACTGGCTGCCGCGCAACCAGATATGGGAATATAAGTATATATGTATATATATATGTATGTATGTATGCATATTGTACTCATGTGTAGGTATATATTATAATTAAATTTATTTATGTATGTATATCTCCGAAATATATAAGTTTATCTTTCATTGTTAAATAAAATCACTGCTTGCCTCTTGCACCTACCATTTACTCTTCTCTGCATCACCCAAAGGTCAGACTGGTAGAAAATGCCTGCGGCATTAAGTCCACCTTTTAGTACATTTTGTGCATGAAGCATACTAAATAAATAAAAAAAAATATCGCACAGATACACAGATTGTTGTTCCGGGTCTGGAACTGTTTGTCTGTGTATGTGAACTTGTATGTTTGTAAACGCACCCACCATACGGGAGAAAAACCAAGTGTAAGCAAGCGTTTATTTAAAAAAAGCATGTTTAGCGCCAGCATAAAGCCTGTAACTGTAACTGTAACCAAAGTATGATATTAAGTCGCTATCACATTAAATATTTCGTAAAATTGTTTAAAAAAGAAAGAAAATTATTGACATTTAAACGTATTAGGGACTGAGAAATTCAACAGG